GGTCAGCTCAATTTAACTCAGCTCCAGAGAGCCTTCATTGTGCAGGACAATGAAGAGACTCACCTCCCTGGTGTGGAAGGCAGCTGCTACCTGGAAGGGCAGAGGTGGCCACAGGTGTCAGAGATTCCCACAAGCTTGCCCAGGCGCTGAGGACACACCTGTCCTGCCGGATGTGTGGAGGTACATGAGCTGGACTCTGACAGGTGCGGGAAGTGCCATGGGTCTGGTCAGTTGGAAAGAAAGGCCCCAGGGGTCTACACAACCTTCTGGGGTGAACTAACACTGCATCATAAAGGAGCAATTTTGTGTTTTAAAATACAGCCACTGGTTTACACTGTTGCCTTTTCTCTCTTTTAACAATTTAGGTCTTTTTAAAATTTCCTTTGGCATTTATTTTCTAGATACATAGTTTATTGTTTTCAGAGCTGAAGGAGTAAAGGCATCTGCAGAGCAGAACCCACAGAGCTCTACCTCTGCAGAGCTCCTTTAGTTCTGGAGAAAAGAAGTAAATAAAAATACTGATTTAGACAGCTGAAGTGGTTCATTTTTCCCCATGATTCAAGTTCCCATAGAAAAGAGAACTCACTGCTGAGTGGGGCTTCTCCTAGTTCCTGGTGGACTCTCTCATGTCAAAGGGTCGCTCTCAGAAACCACACGCTAGGCTCAGTGCCCGTAGCACATTGGTTATGGCGCTGGCCATATGCACTGAGGCTGGCGGGTTCAAACCTGGCCCAGGCATTGTGATGGGTGCCTGTAGTCCCAACTACTTGGGAGGCTGAGGCAAGAGAATCGCTTATGCCCAAGAGTTTGAGGTAGCTGTGAGCTGTGACACTACAGCACTCTACCAAGGGCAGCATAGTGAGACTCTGTCTCAAAAAAAAAAAGAAAGAAAAAGAGAAAAGAAAAAAAGAAAAAAAGAAAAAGAAATCACACACTGGGCAGAGAGCAGGAAAGGAGAGGCCAAGGCTCCACCCCAAACCACTAATCCCCTGCAGGTGCTGCCCTGCCCACCCTGCTCCGGAGCCCCCCAGAGGTGCTGCTGGGTGCTTTCACACCCTGGAGCCTTCACACCCAGATGACACATGACTGTGTGGTTGACAGAGGTAAGGGCTCCCCAGCAGGTGGACAAGGTGGCCCTGAGTGGGGTCCCAGGGGTGCCAGCTTCAGCAGTGGAGGCACATGGGAGGACTGAGGCCCCAGACATCCTCTTGCAACCCTGAGGTAAAGCCCAGGCCCTGGTTAGCACAGACGGGGAGGGCAAGTAGAGCAGGCCTGGCTGCTCTCAGACCAGCAATGGTACCACCTTACCCACTGCTGTCTGCCCGCAGTACCTGCTGTCAGCACTCACACCACCTAAGTCCTCAGCCAGGCAGGGTCACCTGCTCACCCCAACCCCTCGGGAGGCCACAGCTCACTTGGGCCTGTCCTCAGAGCTGGGTGCTACCTGCTCCCTGCAGGTGTGACTCAGGGCCCCACACCGCTGAGGGTGAGAACAGCACAGACTTCAGATGAAGCCAAGCAAAGTAGGTGCCACCCTGGTTACAATTTCCCGAGCAGCAAAACAGAGCTTTGGGGGAAGGAAGATGCTCAGAGAACCAAATATTCTGCTAAACTAAATTTCCTAGATGGCACAGAATTAAATGGAAACCTTTTAAAATAAAATAAAAATGCAGTGTGAGAATCTAGTAAGGGCAAAGAGCAGGTGGGTCCCTGTGGGGACACTGCAAAACTTGCTAACTCTGACCTCCACCCACAGGGGCTCTGCAAACCTAATGGGGGAGGCTGTCAGCTGCTGCTGAAGCTTAGAGAGTTCAGCTTGGGTTCCTCTGGGGTGGGATGGATCCTAAGGGCAGGGACAGAATTGTCATTGAAAGCATTTCATCTGCAGGCAAAGCAAAAATAGCAATGTATTGAGTGTGTATAGCATACACTGTATAAATACAAAATATCTGGCAAAAGCACACAGACTGGGACATGCAGATTAGTGTGTTATTAAAGATAAACTCTAGTTAAATAAAGATGGTATTGAACTCACTAAGGCAGCCAATAAAAACTTTTTAAAAGAGGTATAAGTGATAAGTCAACAGAGACATAAAATAGAATCATAAAAAATGCTTAAGTTATTCAAGAGAAGGTAAAAAAAGAAAATACATTTCTTTGACTCTGAAAAGTCTATTTTTCTTATTTTGCTCATTTCTCCCTCATGCTGACCCTGCTTTCCCCCGCGGCTTTCTCCTCCTGTCCACACATTGTCCTCCCTGCCTGCCTCTGGTCCAGTTTCCAGAGGTCCCTCCATGTACTGAGACCACTTCATGGCACCCTCTGCAGCTGCTGGCTCACTCCCCAGGGGAGGTCCTATCCCCAGACCCGTGGCTGCCAACACGAGGGTCGAATGGACCTTCCTCTCTAGACAGCACAGTGAGAGCCATGCACACTTTAGCCCATGAGGTGTTTCTCTAGTATAGATCAGCTCAGCTACAGTAGGACCTGCCTCTGAGAAACACTAAGTAAACTCAAGAGGAAGCAAGCTTGCCACTCAGGACTCTTCAAATCTCCAAGTGAATTCAAAGATTATTTCTGGCAAAGGTACAAGCCAGCATTCTATCTCCTGCTGGGTGTTACCAGGTGTGGGGGTCTTCAGGTAGATGTCAGGGCACAGGGTGGGACCCTTCACCCAGTACACAAAGCTCACCTCTTCCGAAGCCCACTGGAGGTCCCAGTGCAACAGGCTGGCACAATCCCAGGTGTCACAGTGCTTTTCAATCCAGGTCAGCAATCTGTTAGCTAGAAGTTACTTCTGGACTAGTGGAAATGCTCTTGGTAGTAAGGTTTTGTCCTTTTTGTTCTTCCTGAGCATTTTAATAGGAATTTGAAAGTGCTGACAAAACCATTAACCCTCTGCCATTTTATTCTGAAGGCCCAAGAGCTAAATTTTCAAGTTGTACTTTCAACATATTTGGGCCAGTAAACAGTATTTGCATGACTACGTAAAATGGAGATGCGATTAGAATCCCCTCTAGACCCAATCTCCAATATCCGGCTGTATCAGTGTCTCAGTATACCTCTGTCCTGTGTCAGCAAGGGCTGCATGTCCATCTGACTCATCCACCACACACCCACCACCTGCATCACTGCACACACTGCACAGGACACAGCCCTGGGAACACACAGGTGAGACAAAGCACCACCCCATCCTCAAGGCTCTCAGTCAGCTGAGCAAAGTGGCTCACACCTGTAGGCCTAGCCCTTTGGGAGACTGAGGCAGGAGGATCGCTTAGCCCAGGAGTTGAAGGCTGTAGTAAGCTGTGATCACTTTGCTGTATCCCAGCCTGGACAACGGAGAGAGACCCTATCTCAAAAAAGGGGGGTTTCCAGGCCACGAAGCAGATAGGGCATAGTAATTATAATACCAACCACACTTACACTCATGTGACAAATGATGAAAGAAAAGTGATTTCTGAATAACAATATGACAAAAAAGGAAAAATCAAATCCCCATCGTCTTTCCTTGGAAGAAAAGGCTGTCTCATGAGCAGTCGCAGCTGGTGTTTCCTGAGCATAATGACCCATCCTCAGAGACCCCTGTGTGGGGTCACTCTGCAGAGCGGCTGACATGGCCAACACACACCTCCCCCTTGGACGGGACACAGGGAAGCCAGAAGGTGGATACAGACTTGCCTCTTAGGCTATTTGCTCTCTTCTTTCTGTGTCTGTTTTGCTAATCTGCTAGGAAATGTTGCATTTTTTTCTTAACTAGAGGCTGTAGTTAGTCTTGTTGCCCGCCTTGTTTTCCTTATGAAGACAGCCCAGAGTCTCACAACCTCTCAGGCTGTCAGGAGGGGAAGGTCCCACATAAAGCAGGCTAAGTCTTCCCTGTAGATCAACCCGAGGCAAAGGACTTGACCTTTTTGGATCTTCCTTTCTTCACAACCTTTCTATATGGCTCACAGAATACCCAAGGAGTAGGGTGGGAAGAAGGAAGAAACACCTGACAGTCCTGCAGAGCGGAGGCCGCACAGGCCAGGGCCTACAGGGAAGAAGCCTGAACAGACAAACATCCCCAGTGACTATGGACTGGATGGGGAGGGAAGAGTCACCGTCTGCGTTGTTCTGTCTCAACTGTTTTCCTAATAGGAAGGGGGGGGGGGGGGCAGTGGACAGTTTTAAATCACCTGAATGAAAAAGGCAACAAAGGCTGAGGGGTTGCTCTGGTGGTGGAGCAGAGGCCCCTTGGGGGAGGCCCACTGCAGCCTGGTAGTCACAGAGTTGGCTGTGCCCCTGACACTGGGGAGCCCCATATGGGCCTCCCAGGTCTGATGCTGCAGCTCTGGCCACCTAGGTAGAGGCTCTTTTGTGACCCTGTGAGATTTAAATGTGCCAGACCTGTGGTGCTCCTCACACAGCAGCAACAGCAGCTGAGGTGGAAGCCACTTCCACGGAGGTGCAGAGGGCGGAGGCACAAGAGTGACACCGCGCCCTGAGTTCTCCTGTCCTTCTGTATAGTCTGAATGTGTGTCCCCCTAAAATTCACTGGAACTTAAACTCCAGGGTGATGGTACTAGGAGGTGGGGCCTTTAGAGAATGGATCGTGCTGATGCCTGCAAGCTTGTGTGTGAAGACACAGTCACCAGGTGCCATGTCGGTTGAACTTGGGACTTCCCATCTGTTCTTTACAATCACCGATCAGGGCACTTTGCTGTGGCAGCACAGATGGACCTTTCCTTCCTATTACATATGAGTTGCAAACGTCAAGAATTTATTTACTTGTGTCATTTCTGTACAAATACAATTTTAATGCCAAAGTATAATGCAAATGTATCTGACTTGACTCCATAAAAGACATTCAAATAATCCAAAAAAAGATGCCCAAGAAAAGTTTTAAGAAAACCACTGTTGGCAGAGAGGTCATTTTAATGAAATAATTCCTTTTAATTTAGACATGTGTGTACATATCACTTTATGCATAACTAAAAAATAGTTCATTAAAATACACTTTCCTGGTGACTGTTAAGAATCTAGTAATAAATGTGGCAATATACTAAAGCTGTTCTAAAAATAACTCTCAAAGAGCTTTCTAGACAAGACTTTCCTTTGATGTGTTGTATCCACTCAAATGTTCATTTGTTTCAGTTCAAAAATAGCCATTTATTTACTTGGAATTCCAAAGTAGCATTCTTATAAAATAAATTATGTACAGACTATACATATTCTATGTACACAAACGCACATGCACACAGATGCACAATTATCTGCCTGTAATTATGTCTTTACACCTGGGCCGTTTCACTAGCAGCAGCCTGTCACATGCACGGTGTCCCTTCTTTCCACAGGGCTTCCCGCAGAAGCAGACGCAGCCTGCTGCACTCATCTGCCTCCGGGGCTGCCCACCGCCTCCTCAGGAGCTGGACGTCGATGGCTCCAGAGGCCCGGGCTAGCACCAGGGCCAGCACGCTGCCACTGGCCTTGTCCGCTTCTCCCCCGACAGCCATGGCCACCAGCCTGCAGGGACATGTGCGTAAGAGAGTCAGTGCACAGGCGGAAAATGTGCCGCTATTTCTGAGTCTCTAAAATCTCTCTCTTCTCAGGGAGGAATGAAATGGAAGAAAGATTCTAAAAATGTAAATAGGCAAAATGAAATGTTAGACTAGAAATAATTGTATGAAAATTAATAGGAAACATTTCAAAAACATGTTTCTGCATCTCAGAGTCTGAAGCTGATGAGGATGTGTTGCCCCAAGGCAGCCACAGGACGAGGCTCTCAACCTTGCTTCCTGCTGCAGGCGCCAGGCTAGTCTCTGGAGAACTCGGGGCAGCCAGCAGTCCAGGCAGCCCCACCCTCAGACACCCAGAGCCCAGAACTGGGGTCCCCAGCGTAGGGAATCCCCTGTATGAGGGTTCCAGTTTGGATCCCTGGTGGTTTCCCCACTGCTCCCTGGGTCTCATCTGCATCTAGCTCCAAGTCTGCATCTCCAATCTCCATGAGGACACAACTCCACCAGCTGCCAAGGGTAGGTAGGAGGGCAGCTGTCCAACACCCCCAAGCCATTCCCAAGTGTCCTGTGCCCACCACTGTCCCCTTAGGAAGATCATCCTAAACTTCCTCAACTTCCTCTGATGACCACACTCTCCTGACCAGGCTGTCTCTGAGCTCCGTCTCCATGGGGGACAGACCCAGAAGTCACCTCTGACATCATCCTGCCCCACTCAAAGCCACCAGCAGAAGAATGTGCCCTGGGCACCCGACACTTCAGTCCTGCTGCCCAGGTACTTGGGTAATGCAGGTAATGCAGGCTCCCTGGCTGCAGGGCTATGGAACTGAGCACAAAATAGTTCACTGACAGTGTTTTAAAAACAATGAAAATGGATATACAAAAACCAGTTAGTACCATCGCCAATTTTTAAAAATATCATTCAGATTTGTAAGTTGAACAGAATCCAAGCAAAGAGGGTGAAGATAGACACTGGAGTCAGGCTCCACCCCACCTCCCAAGCCTTCTGACTGCCTGCCTCCTGCAAGGGGCTTCTCCACCAGGTGGAGCAGGTCCACTGTCAAGAACCTTAACTTCACTCCGAAAGCCTCAGGCAGGCCCCAGAGTGTCTGATCCCAAGGCCCTCCTTATAAAACCACTGCTTTCTTGTTCTGCTTCTCCTCAGCACCCACTGTGCATCGCTGTTCTGAGAGGGTGTGCAGGGAGGGCAGCGCATCAGTCCAGGCACCTCCTTCTATGCCCCCCAGCCGGACTATTGACCAGCTGTCCCAGGCAGCAGCCCCAAGGAGAGGGGTGAAAGGGTCTCCCAGAGACAGAGCAGGGTCCTGGCCAGCAGATGAGGACAAACATCTGGAGCTGCATTTGGGCTCCAACAGACTTGGGTTGGTCACTTCTCTGCCCTGCAGCACCTGAGGCATCCCTCACCCTCCCCACCTGTGCCCAAACACCCCTCACTGGCCTGCCCTCCTGTCCATACTGTCCTGTCCTGTGTCCCCACAGCATAGCCCAGACACATGAAGCCCTCCTCGCTGATGCTGTCATCTGGCCCACCAGCTAGGGAAGTGGAAGCCCCAAGCTCACTGGGCTGCTGCCAGCACATAGCTGGTGCTCAATTAATGGGCATTCACTCAGGAGGGCACTGTACATTTTCTGGAATAACAAACTTCACAGCGTTATCTGTGCACATGTAAAGCAGAGTCTTGATTTCCTGTGTATTTTTTAGTATGAGAATAACATGAGAATGCCCAGGACTCACACTAGATAAACACAACATCCCTGACACTATTAGCCCAGCCACTGCTCTGACCATTTCTGTCCTCCCAGTCCCTCTGCAGACGGAGCAGCAGCTACACTCCCATTCCTTCTCTAGACCAGTACAAACTTGCGCAGTCAGAGAATGTGCTAACAGGAAATGTAAAATCTCGAGAAAAACAGGTGAAGAGAGACATGGGTGGAGAAGAAGACTCATGACCGCACATGGGTCCAGCACACGTGAGTGAGTCCATAGGTGTCCAGGTCACACCATGGCAGGGGCTGGACAGTGGTCAGAGAAGCCACTGGGATTTGAGCACAGGATGCACATTATGTGGAATGGCATGAACCATCAGCTCCTGAGTGCTGACCCTCATCAGACTAGAGCGGACACTGAGTGTGGGGACAGCCAACACACATGACTAAGTCGCCTTCGCAGAGCTGTCCTGCCTCTGTGGAATGTGATGATGGGACATATTCTCAACGAACCCTTCAATCCAACACACTCCTTGGGGCTAAATGTACAAACTTCAAGAGTGGCCCCTGACATAAACCATGGGCTCTGGGTGGCAATGACCAGCTATGACAAACACGCCCTCCAGAGCAGGTGTTCGTAACAGGGGAACATGAGAAATCTTTGTACCGTCCACTCAATTTTGCTTTGAACCTAAAACTGCACTAAAATATTATTTTGTATTACTGTTTAATATATATAAACAAATTTATCATTTCAGTATAAATATAAAAAGCCACATCTTAAAGTCTTAAAGTGTAGCAACCTTATGTGTAAATTAAATAAGAAGGAAGACTGTCCATGATGCCTCTGCCAAAGCCTCAGCAGCACCTGCCCATGCCTCACCACGCACCTGTCTGGGGAGATGGGCTGTATGGCCACAGGGCCCAGGTCACTGGCGAGGAGGTCCCAGACATAGATGTTGGACGTGTCATCCTGAACCAGGAACACGGCAGGCCTCGTCGGGGACCACTGCAGGCTGGTGATCGCATGGCCATTGGTGCTGCTGTCCCACTGCAGGAGGGGGCGTTCAGAGCTCAGCCCGTGCAGCCGCACACTCCCATCTGAGCAACCAGCCTGCAGGAAGGGATGGAAACTATGGCTCATTTCTTTTTTCTTTTTTGAACTCCATGTCAGTATCCTGGGAAATTTTTCAGTACATTAGCTTCCATTAATTTGGATAGCAAAAACTTTTTTTTCCTAAACATAAAGTTACACCATTAAATCTGGCCTCACAAGTTACAAAGGTGAGCATCCATTGTGGAGACTCCTACTACTCTGTACTACTGCCCCTCCCCAAATGACCAATAACCAGTGAATTCAGGGATCATACAAATAGGTGTTTATTTTTAACAAAGTTGAACATCACTGATTCTAGCACAGGCCATTAGGACTGACTGGCTCCATGAAGTAAGTCATCTTTTAAAAATAATTATATACACCTGCATCAATAATATAGTTATGTGTTTACCTTGGATTGAAATTTCCATAAAACCAAACTATCTGGTTTGGTAAAAAACCAAATTTTTAGCTTATGAAGAGAAAGTTAATTCCCTTTTACTCAATATATTTAATCTTTCACATAAAAACAGAAAAAGAAAAATAAAATCAATGAGAATGGGAATAAAATCCTAAAATGAAATACAGAAACAAATTTTAAAATCTGCATCCCAAGTGAAGAACACGACATCACAGAAATGGGGACATGGCATGTGGCGTGCACCTGTCACACAGCTGAGCTGAGCACTGGCTCTGCCCTGGGCCCTGAACAGCTGGGTGTCCTCAGGTCCAGCCATTCGAAAGGTGTGTCCGAGATAACACACAGTGCACAGCCAGGCCTCCTGTGTTCCCAGATGGAAGGCACAAACATGGGGAAGGGGGCCCCTTTGCCAGCCTGCAATTAGTGATGTGGGTGTGAGCACAGTCTGTTCACAAGAGTGGCCATCATGTCTGCCTGAGAGGGCCTCCACAGGACAACCCCAGCACACACTACATCTCATGCCCTATCTCAGGTCTAGAGACTTGCCTCCACTCCAAGAGCCAAAACTCCTGGAGACACAGGAGCCAGCTGAGGCATGTCCACCAGCCTAATGGGAACACCTTCAACAGCAAGATAAATACAGTGGCAACAGCATAAAATACGGTTTATGACCAGAGTCAGGTAATAAGCAGTGTGTCCAAGTCACGTGACACACACACACATGCACAGGAGAAAGCGTCAACTTTTTCCTCGTGGCAGAAAGCCAACTAGTATGTGTGGAATTGACCTAACAACAGCTTTGGCCAAGAACTGCCAAAAGGTGCAAATTGGCAAGTGAAAAACTGAGACTCAGGACATTACAAAGTGCTGCCTCCCTCCCCAGACACCCACTCATTGAGGGAGGGCGGACACACCACACAGAGAGGGTGCTGCCTCCCAAGCTGTCCCGGCCGAGCAGGCAAATCCTGCATCTCATCTAGAGGAGACAGCAGACAAGCTCAGCCTGAGGAGCACCCCAAATAACTAGCCTTGGCCTTGAAAATCGTCATGGCCGTGAAAGACTGAAGACATTCTCCAGATCAAAGGAGTCACCAGAACTGAGAGAGTCATGACTTGGGTAATTATTCTGCTTAAAAGACATTATTGGGATAATCTGTGAAATCTCAATGAGCTCTGCAGATGAGACAACAGGTGTGTACCAGAATCAACTTCCTGATGACCATTTCTAAGGTGACCACTTGAGATGCTCTTGCTTTTAGGAAACGCACACCAAACTGCTTGGGGTGGAGGCTGGGTGCACCACTTCCTTTTAGACAGAGTGGGGACACACGGAAAGGATGAAGCCTCAGAGAGGGGTGGAAACCATCTGAAGTGTTCTTGTAACTTTCCTATAATCCTGACAAGAAGTGTTTTGGAAAGGGGCCATGTGATCACCAGGTGGAATGGTTTCCAGCTGCATAGACAAGGCTCTCAGGAAACCAAGGACGAGCTGCTCCTGGGGACCCCTTCCTGGGGGGGCTCCATGTGGAGGGACGTGGACAGAGTGGGAACGTTTCAGAGTCCCACCCCCACCTATCCAGGGCTTTCTGCAACATCCTGCACTACTGGACTCTGAGGACCAGCTCTAGGCCTGGGGCAAGAGGGTCTTTAGGGATACCCTTGTTCTTTCACATACGATCACAAAATACAGACTTACTGCCACTGGGATTACACACAGGCATCACCATGCCCAGCTGCTTTACTCTCTTTTACTCATACCAATTTTTTTTTTTTGAGACAGAGCCTCAAGCTGTCCCCTTGGGTAGAGTGCCATGGCATCACAGCTCACAGCAACCTCCAACTCCTGGGCTCAAGCGAGTCTCCTGCCTCAGCCTCCCAAGTAGCTGGGACCACAGGTGCCCACCACAACGCCCGGCTATTTTTTGCTTGCAGCCATCATTGTTGTTTGGCAGGCCAGGGCTGGATTCGAACCCACCAGCTCAGGTGTATGTGGCTGGCACCTCAGCCACTTGAGCCACAGGCGCCGAGCCACTCATACCAATTCTTCAAAATTTAGCATATGTGAATTTGCATTGGCACATCTCAATGCTGGCCATGTTTCAAGTGCCCTTGGCCACAAATGGCTGCTGCACTCTACGGCTCAACTGTCGTCTTAGGGAAAAATAAAGATGCACAAAATACCACCTCTGCCCTCAATAATCCTATAGATGGTAGGTAATTAATTCATAAACATGAACTATAATGTATTTTAAGTTCTACAAGAGTAGTATGAATAATCTTTCCCTTCAGTCTCAAGTATAGGGAAAGGTGTAGAGATGAGAGAGAGAAGGGCACACTGGAGTCACATGTCATTCTATACTCTGATCCTGGTATAACTTTCAACAGTTAACTATCAGATTTAATCATGTATAACCTTTAAACATACTTTGCCTTCTCTCTGGTCTTACCCCCACCCTACCCACAAACTGACCTTGGAGTCCACTGGCTAAAAAAATGCAACACTGGGATTAGGGTGAGCTGTGCCGGCAGCAGACCTAGAAAGAGCTGCAGACAGGCTGGGTGGCCAGCCCTGGACTTCCTCTGGTTTCTCAGGTTGGACTCTGAACACTCATTTATATTATGTCTTGTTAAAAATAAAAACACAAAGTAAAAAATTCTTACATCAAGAATTTCTCTATTATCTGTGGCTGTATCATGGGTTTTGATATTTGATATTCTCTTGTTAAATTCTAAATAGTTTAAATTGAACAAAGTATTACTTAATAGAGTTTCATTTCTAAGTGGGTTTTATTTTTTAAGTGTTATCAATGTTTCTTTTTTATTGATGTTTTTCCTTTTTAGACCACTAAGGCTAAGTGATCAATCTGTGGTCTAGTAAATAATTAACTTTTAAAATTTTCCAGTGGATCACTACAAGTGGTATAGCGCCCAAATAGGCATTTTATGCCATTAAAAAGAATTGGGGCTTTGAAAAACAAACTGTCTTACCAAGAATATTGGCTCTCCAAATGGTGAAAAGTCCATCGCATTGACCGTGACTGGTCTTGCTCCACACTGCTGAGGCCTGAAGGCCCTGGGGGCTGCCCTCACTCCCTGCCTCGTGCCATGGCCGATCAGACCCTGGAAACCAGAAGGCCAAGGGTAATGGGAGAGGCAGAGGCTGGGCAAAGCTCTTGACACACTTGAACAACATCATAGCAATGAAAGCAAAGTGTAAGTTAAATTTAAATGAAGGTATTTATCAGATAACTCTAGGGAAGAAGAATGAGTAGTGGAATGAAATGTGAAGTATTACTTACCGTGTCTGTGCCAACAATAAAGTGATTAGGGTCTGAAGGCAGAAATTTAACACTCATTGTTTGTGTGGTCCCCCAAAATTCATTCCCTTTAAGGGAAAAACTGAAAAGAATAAGACAGCAAAGATGAAAAGATGAGTTGTTCTGAAACATGAAGAACAACGATGACACTTCACACTTGTGTGGTCCTGACCTCCCTGGATGAGCAAGGCCACTCTGCATCCCCTCCGTGGTTCCATGTAAATGCCCCACACAGTATATACGTACATTACGAAGTATTTTATGTCATATTAAGTTATAAGAATGAAAGTAGAAACCTAAATTTCTGAATACAACTTTCCATCAACGTTTCTGCTTCTGAAAATTTCATCTAAATTTAACTTTACAGTTGCATTAAAACTGGATGAGAAATACTCAAATAGTACCAATTTATAAGATGAAAATCATTTTCTGATGGATGAATAGACAGGTCTATACGTAGAAGTTGTATTCGTTACATTTGCTCATTAATAATGCACTAATTAAATAGGAAAAATACAATGGAGAAAGTAGATTTCTGCACTGCAGGGACCAGCCATATGCACTGAGGGTGCAGCTCCCAGACCCCTCCTATGGGAAACGGGCCCTGGGAAAGGGGTCGCTCTGTCTCACCTGCCCCCCAGCAGGATCACAGCACTGTGTACCAACTTGACCCTCCCTCCAGGTAGCAGTCCTAAAAACAGACAGAAACAGAAGTCAATGTACCTTCCCCACAAGTTAAATCAAAATCTTATTATGATGCCTGGAACTATTTTCATTGCTTAAACATCTGTGTTAGAAAATCATGTCAAACTACAAACTGATAAATGGTGCCCCTTCCCTAATACTGGGTGAGGCTCACATACACTGCCTTTCAAGAATCAGGAGTTTGCAGTTCAGAGCCTTACAGAAAAATAATTATGGAATCAAGATCCAGAAGCCATCACATCTTCAGATTTGACACAATAAAAGCAGTAAGTGATCAGGCAGGTATGCCAACAACCACCTAAAACCACGTGCGCACTGTGCATGTCCGCGAGAGACGTTCAGGACCCACAATCCCCAAGCACATGCACAAGCTGCCAGCTCCACAGCAGGACGCACACCACCTCTCCATCAGCGTATCTGACATCCTCTCACAGGACACAAAGCAAGGTTTCTGAGACCTGACTTTCCTTTCCTTCCCTCTCTTTCCTAAAGTGCTCTGGCCACAGCGCTGACTCCCTGGCCACTTATCAGGCCAGCCTTCCCTGTCTATTCTCAGCTCAGTGCTCCAGCTTTTTAATTACTGTGAAGGGAAGAACTAGAACTTATATACATTAAAACCCAAATTCTGTACAAGGCACTGCCTAGAACTTTGGCAGCTGAATTACAAGTAGCACCCGAATGCTCAGCATTACTGTTCATGAACATGAAACTGCCCCCTTCCCCAGCAAATGCCCACATCGCACCACCTCCCATGGGGGTCTCTGACCTGGGCCACCACCAGGTCACTGCCCCTGCAATAATGTAATAAACATATCTCCCCAGCCACTATCTTTGGCTCTTATTTCCTGGGCCCTAGGGCTAGACCCAGCTTGTTCAGAGAACAGTTCATAAATGAATGAAAGAAAACTGGTGCCAGCTTGCCAACAGCCACTTATCTAATGCCACACACAGAAACCAGAGCCACCCTGAGCTGCCTGCTGCTCTGAATATTGTCCTCTTTCTTCCTAAAGGCAACACAGGAACATGGTTGAAGTTTGGGTAGGTGGATCAATGGATAAAGGGTTTTTTTATATAGCAACATTTAAAAATGAAACATATACCACCCTATGATACCACTTTTCTAACTATCTCATATATACTATTCATATAAAACATTTTTATGCAAACACATTTTATACAAAATAATGAGCATCATGCAACGGTACATTTTAAAACTATTAAGAAATGAATATAATTGTAATGGATGTGTTACTTAGTTCAATGTAAACATTTCACATTGTATATCGAAGCAAAGCAGTACCCTGAACCCCATAAATGCATCAATGTACAAAGTTATGATTTAATTAAAAAAAAATAATAATTTTGTCTCCATAGCCAGATCACCCCACTGTGGACAGAAAATCTTTTTTTTTTTTTTTGAGACGGAGTCTCAAGCTATCCCCCTGGGTAGCGTGCCATGGCCTCACAGCTCACAGCAACCTCCAACTCCTGGGCTCAAGCGAGTCTCCTGCCTCGGCCTCCCAAGTAGCTGGGACCACAGGCGCCCACCACAGCGCCTGGCCATTTTTTTTTTTTTTTTTTTGGTTGCAGCCATCATTGTTGTTTGGCAGCCCGGGCTGGGGATTCGAACCCACCACCTTAGGTGTATGTGGCTGGCGCCTTAGCCGATTGAACCACAGGCGCCGAGCCGCCAGAAAATCTTTAAGTCCTTAGTATCATCCATAATTTCCTAAAAAAAATTGTCACATAACAAGATAACAGCACAGCCAGACTCCAGGTAGGTGGTCAGGGCATAACCAGGCAAAAAGGTGTCAGTCTTAGCACCAACAGGGTGAGTCTGGCCTATCATCCTACCCTCACCAGCAGCTTGTGAGCTTCTAAGATTCTATCTGTGCACAACCTAGAAGTCTGGAACACAAAAGGACTAAGGAAAGGCAGAGTGGTTTCCTGATAGGCAGAGGATGCTCTATGAAGAAACACTGAGAAAAATGGTTACTGCACCCTAAGAACACCTACCAGTGAAACTAATGAAACCGTGAGTCTCACTTCCATTGGTATCTATAGTGCTCTTCTAAATGAATCTGATGGTATTCTGACATGAATTATGCAGTTATTTGCTCCACAGATAAAAAGTCCTCCTCTTCCCTAATTTCATGAAATTGAGAACAAAGTCAGTATCACATCCACCACATTTTCTGCCATAACTACCCAGAGACACACCCTGACACCAGGTGAACTGGGCTCCTCATTAGACACTGTGGCTGGAGGCCATGAGGTGAGCAGAAAGTCACATTCAGACCATGGATAAGCCCCACCATGGCACACAAGAGGACTGAATCACTCCGTGTTGGAAGTAAAAACGACACTATCCAGCATCAAAAGCACCAAACTGTGGAAGATGTAGGTGTTTTTGTCCCACTATCTTCTGTTCCCCCCAGATGCAAGGCCTTTACCCCACCAGCCCTGCGGCTCTCAGTAGCCCCAAAGTGTCCTGTGCTGGTGAATTCAACAGCAAGGAAGAAGCCTGCTGGGGCACTCAGGATGCAGAGGACACCATCCTCTACTCATGTGCAGAATGGAACAATATTCAGCCTCAGCTACCAGAGGAACTCACTACAGTCACTAAAGTGGGTTCCCTGCAAATATTATTTGATCATTCTCGCCAAGAAGCCTGTTTATTGTCAATGATGTTATATGACACACAACTTTATTTTATTTATTTATTTTTTTTTTTTTGAGACAAAGCCTCAAGCTGTCCCCCTGGGTAGAGTGCTGTGGCATTACAGCTCACAGCAACCTCCAACTCCTGGGCTCAAGCGAGTCTCCTGCCTCTGCCTCCCAAGTAGCTGGGACCACAGGCGCCTACCACAACGCCCAGCTATTTTTTGGTTGCAGCCGTCATTGTTGTTTGGCGGGTCCGGGCTGGGGATTTGAACCCGCCACCTTAGGTGTACATGGCTGGCGCCTTAGCCGGTTGAACCACAGGCGCCGAGCCGACACACAACTTTAAAGTTCATTTTTCAGATAGCTAATTACATATTTTTCAAAGCAGTCATTGGTATCTTTAGTCTTTACTCATTTTAGAAAACAATAACCAGAACTGATTTATTCAATAGTTACCTAAATCGCTTACTGAACCTGCGATGTCTGCTTTTGGCAATTCAACAACCACCTAAAAACAGAATATTGATACAGAAAAGAAGATTTATGACTCAATTAGGAACAATATTGTGGTGCTGCCTCCTTTCTCTGATCTCTCTCTTCCCTCCACTCACCTTGGGGACACTGCCCCAATTCTCCTTGCTCTTTCCCAAGGCCTGTGAGGTCCCTATTTAGCTGTCACAGAAGAGCCCCAAAGTGGCCGACGGTAAAGCTCCATCTTCCACCTCACAGAGCAGTGAGCCTGGCCTCCTCTGTCCCCTGCGTCCAACATCCAACCCCTCCAAGCCCCTACTCTACCCTCTGACTCCCTGCCATATCCACCCCAACAAGCTCACTCTGTTTAGGACCTGTTGCATGGGTACACATGTACATTGTGGCGCACACAGCCTGGGCCACCTACTCACCCACATGTTGAGAACCCCACTCTCGTCCAAGGATGCGATGTGGAATGACAGACCTGTCATTTCTAATGAAAACAGAAACAAAAGGAAGAAATGGCTTTACACAGAAAACCACACCTCAGGGCACTGATTTAAGGTTTTAGATGAGTGAAGGGTTGTATACCTTCCTGAGTAGAAAATGGTGAAAGCACAAAGCTCTGTTTTCTGCAGACAGACACTGAGACAGGTTCTACTGCTTGAAGAGGACTCTGGTGGTTCACTGATGTGAGGATTCCATCTAGAGTTCAAAAACACATAGCGCTGGAAACACAGTTGCTGTCATATACAACAAATACGGAGGTGCTTCTGGGCCTGAAAGATCCACATCTCTCCACACAACCTCCCCAAAAGCCACAAGGCCAGCATGGACAGTGCATGACCCTGACCACCTGCAGCAGCACCAGGATCCATAGGAAGAGGCAGCACATTCTGGCCCTGCTGGTCTGCAAGTATGGAGGGCGGGGAGAGGCTGGCCCTGTGCACTTGGGCACGGCTCAGCAGTGAGCCCACCAGCATGTGGCCTGCAGAGGCTTAAGCTATCTTACCTGAAAGTCTTTAAAATGTGTGTTGGCACCAGCAGCAGCAGCCTCAGTGAGGCCCCCATTCTCAGTGATAGGCACCTGGATGTGCCTGACATCATCATCACCCCTCCAACCCCACGGGCATGATGCTGCCGAGAGCTTCCAAGAGGATAGTCTGGCTGCATGAGACCAGGTCATGCCCAGATGATGTAGAAATAGAGCCTGAAGACTGAGAGGAGTCCCAGGGTGGGGATGTGGAGGCAATTTGTGCCCAGCACCCCTTGCCCAGGTGTTCCAGGGATGCAGCTGCCTAGGGCAGGGATGCCGAGTCCCCTGGATGGGAAAGTTGGTGAATCCGCCCTGTACCAGAACCAGCAAGGAATCCAGCCTGCCCGTTCCTGGGACCACGTTCCCCAGGCCCTGTCAAGAAGACCAGAACTCTGACACCTCCATATTCTCACTAACCCTGACGTTCAAAAGGTGATGCTGTGATGACAGCTGGCAGGGTCCCAGGGCCAGGCTCTCTTCCAGACAAATGCCCTCCCAGCATCCTGAGCCGTGTGAACATGTGACCCAAGGTCAACACAAACAAGAGCTTCTTGCAAGATAAGCAGCTCCTTTTTTTTTTTTTTTTTTTGCAGTTTTTGGC